TTTGGAAAAAATATTTTTTATGTTTTTGAAATTCTCTTATGCTCACCAAGGCTGCATTTATGTTATAATAATACAGTAAAAACAGAAATATTATAACATTGGTATTATAAAAATAGAAAAGTTATTTCAAATTATTTCACAATATTACTATTTATTGCTCAAATAAAGTCTTGGTGAGCATAAGAGACATTTAAAAATAATTTTAATTATTATAGCACCTTAAATTTGAAAAATAAAGAAAAAAGATTTTTGTAAATTAAAACTTTATTTGAAAAATCTACATCAAAAGAAAACAACATTTTTCATGCTGTTATGCTGATTTTAAATACATTTTAAATAAAATGTCTTAAAGTTGCTAAATTAGCATCATTTATTTTATATTGTATGATGGTATGTTATGTTTGTCTGTTTATTTATTTACTGTATTTTGGATTGGAGTCTATCTCTTCAAATCTTCAGTTTTTTTCCCCTGAGTGTTCTTATGTCTCACTATTTGCAGAAAGATTCTGCTTCATCCATAGGCATGCACAGATCCAAATCCAAACATGAACTTAAGCTTCTGGAGAAAATTCCGGAAAATGCTGAAGCCACTGTCGTACTTGTTGGTAAGCAATTATAGTCTGATTCTGAATTCTGATGGATTTCTATCATAATTTGGAACCAGTCCTAAAGGACTCAAATAAGACTTCTTTAAGAAGTGAAAAATAAACTGGAAAAATATGAATATAAGTTTATCCCGTTTAAACAGTTAAGAATTGGTTGTAAATTACTACTGAATCCAAATCAACCAGATGCATCAGGAATTAAAATGATTATTACAGATTAACAGCAACATGAACAAAGAGCAAATTATTTCACAGAACAACAGGAAATTAAATGTATTGATTGATGTCTTGCTAGGCAGTGTTGACTTCCTGGAGCAGCCCACCATGGCATTTGTTCGACTTCAGGAAGCTGTAGAACTGGACTCTGTGTTGGAGGTTCCGGTTCCTGTTCGGTTTCTCTTTGTGCTGCTTGGTCCTCCCAGCACCAGCATGGACTACCACCAGATCGGACGCTCCATTTCAACACTCATGTCTGACAAGGTGAGAAAGATGGCTGTGAGTCACCACTGCAAAATTCAAAGAAAAGCATTGTTCCATGCCAAAAATTCAGACTAGAATGGCTATTTCCAGTGTTAACTTGATCTGATCTCTCTCCAGCAATTTCATGAATCTGCGTACCTGGCAGATGATCGGCAGGACCTGCTCAATGCCATCAATGGCTTTCTGGACTGCAGTATTGTTCTGCCTCCATCAGAACTAGGCGGTGAAGAGCTCCTGCGATCTGTTGCTCACTTCCAAAGAGAGATGCTCCGCAAGAGAGAGGAGCAGGAAGTGGCCTTGCTGTCCAAAGAGCCCAAGAGCCTTGAAGAGAAAGGTCTGCATTGACCTGTGTTGCTTTAGTTCCAGTTCAGCTTTTATTTTGGTTTTGGTTTATTATTTTGTGTTTTATATTTGTGTGTGTTTTGTTTGTTTTTATTTAATTTTATATATATATTTTTTTGTCTATTTTTTTGTTTGTGCTTATGGTTTAGTGTTTTTCTTTATTGCATTTCTCTTCTTTGTGCTTGTTTTTTTATTTTGTCTTTTGTTTTTGTTTGTTTGTCTTTGTTATTTGTGCTTTTTATGTTGTTGTTTTTTTTCCATTTTATTTAAGTTTTGTTATGCGTGTTTTGTTTTTCTTTTGCTTTTCTTCCTTGCTTTTGTCTTTGTGCTTGTTTTTTTTATTTTGTCTTTTTTGTTTGTGTTTGTTATTAGTGTATAGTTTTTTGTTTTTTTGCATTTTTGTTTGTCTTTTTTGCTTTTATTGTTTAGTTTGTCATTTTATGTAGACGACTTGTTTGTTTTTTGCTTTGTTTTTTCCTTTTGCTTTTCCTTTGTCTTCTTTCACTTTTTTTTATTTAATGTATTCTCTGTGTGTGTGTGTGTGTGTGTGTGTGTGTGCGTGCATTTTGTTTTATTTTGCAACTTCAGTGTTTATTTCATCAGTATCCTGTTTTATTCATAATATCCCATATTCTCTCTCTCTGTGTAAATCAGAGGCCTTGCTGGCACCCTTAAAACTAGAAGACGACCCATTACGACGCACAGGCCATCTGTTTGGTGGGCTGATCCGTGACGCCCAGCGCCGTTACCCAAAGTACATCAGTGACTTCAAGGATGCGCTGAACCTCCAGTGCATGGCTGCTGTCATCTTTATTTATTTCGCTGCTCTTTCTCCCACCATCACATTCGGAGGCCTTCTAGGTCAGTTACATTAACGCTCTCCATTCTGTCTGTGTTCTTGCTGACAGAAACATATTGGTATGATCTTAAATGCAATAAAAATAATCATTTTAAATGCACGTGATCAATAACAGTTAGACAGTGTTTTAAAATTGAAATTATTGTGAAGGAAAATGTATTTGGTTTTTAAATTGCATTCCAACATCAAAAGAAAAAAATATATACATGTATGCAGACATAATAAGTGTATGTCATGGTGTTATTTGTGTTTTTTTATGGTGGTTTGAAAAAAAGAAATGTTCTAATATATATAATGTTTTTTTTTTTTTGTATTTAATTCACCAACGCATTTTTTTACATTAAATGTGAAAACTGTAAATTGCTTCCAGAACTGACTTAAATGACTTTAAACGGTCACAACCAGTTATGCAACAAAAGGTTATCACACAATCAGTCACTGATCCTGATAAGTATTTTAGATTACTTATGCTTGAACTCCAGAAAGGACCTCTCCATTTAATAATTCAGTCTTGTGTGTACAGGTGAGAAGACTGAAGGCCTCATTGGTGTGTCGGAGCTGATTGTGGCCACTTGTATTCAGGGTGTGTTGTTCTGTCTGCTCGGGGTTCAGCCACTTCTGGTGGTGGGCTTCTCTGGACCAATCCTGGTGTTTGAAGAAGCCTTCTTCTCTGTGAGTTTACAGTACAAGTGAAACCAATATTGAGTGATTAGAACATTACAAAGGAAAGTAAGGTCGTGATTTGTCGTCTTCTGTCTAAAATAAGTCAATTTTGGTCTTTTTTACAGCTAAGAAGAGTTATTGGAGATTTTGGAGTTCCTATTGCCATTCTTATCATGGTTCTGGTAGACTACAGCATTCAAGACACACACTCACAGGTGAGAATGGATAGTTGTCAATTTGCAGGTGATTTTATGAAATTAAAGTCAAGTAAAGCTAGCATTATTATTACTATCACTCATATTTCATGTTAGGTACCCTAAATATTAAAATGTGATGCTTAAACCTGCACTATTTGTGCTATAGATATCTAAAATTGTCCAGTTTGTTGACAAGAGGTGTTATGTTGCTTTTTATAAGCAAAAATACTTTCTTTTTTTTTTGTGTGTCCATTATTATTATTTTCTTTTATTTCTTATTAGTGTCATTATTTTATGTATTCTTTTTAATGCTACACTCTTTATATTTTATTAGTTTTTATTTTATTTTTGACTGACTTGATTTTTTATTCATTTTCTTTATTATTATTTTGTATTATTGTAATTTTTTTGTTATTGTCATTTATGTATTTTAATGCTCCACTGTTTATAATTTAATAATTTATATAAATTTTTATTTACTTTATTTTTATTAATTTTCTTATTATTATTAGTATTATTAGTATAAGTATTATTTTATTACTTCCAATTTTTTCTTACTATTTTATTCACACATGTATTCTGTCTTTTTGTTTTTAATGCTGCACCCTGCAGAAACTGAGTGTACCACGAGGTTTTTCAGAGACTAGTACTGATAAGCGAGGTTGGATAGTCAATCCTCTGGGCTCTGATGGTCAGTTCCCTATCTGGATGATGTTTGCCAGCATCCTTCCGGCTCTGCTCGTCTTCATTCTCATCTTTATGGAGACACAAATCACAACGTGAGTCCACTGCCATGTTTTGTCTCATTTGTTTTCATTATATGTGAACATTTTGTGGGGGAAAAAAATGACAGGTTTTTAATTTGCAATAAAGCTGTTAATTATACACGACAAATATACAACAAAAAATGGTATCCCTGATTCATGGTATACATAAAATTATGGCAGGATTAAAGATGCTCTCTCCTTCTAGGTTGATAGTCAGTAAGAAAGAGCGAATGCTGGTCAAGGGTTCTGGTTTTCATCTGGATCTGTTGCTCATCGTGACTCTCGGTGGCACCAGCGCTCTGTTCGGCCTGCCGTGGATGGCTGCGGCCACCGTGCGCTCTGTAACCCATGCCAACGCCCTCACCGTAATGAGCAAAGCCGTCGCCCCTGGAGACAAACCTCGAATCCAGGAGGTCAAGGAGCAGAGGGTGACCGGGTTACTGGTGGCAATACTTGTAGGTGGGTTCCAAAAATTACTGATTCTAACATTATCCATTTAGATGCATCCTGATCGACACAAACTGCTGATAACGTAAAAAACAAATATATATATATATATATATATATATATTATTAAAATATTGAAGGATCATTTGTTTGGAATCCGATACTATTTTTGGAATGAGCAGCCCAAAAATATGAAGTTTTTTTTTTTTTTAGTATAAAAAAGTATAGGTTTTT